GGGCTGCGCGGAAGCGGGGTCTCCGGCGCCTGCGAGGCCGCGGGGTCCCCCTGAGGGGCGGGGCCTGCGCGGTGCGGAGGGTTCTCTCCCCTCCCCCACCTGCTTTCTGTGCGGCCCACGCGTGAGCCCCGGGCTCCCGAGAGCCCTCTGGGGCTGGAGACCCCGCGTGGTGCGCTCACTGCCCCCCGGACACGTTTCCTCCTTTTGAAAGTTGGGTCGGGCTCCAAGAATGGCCTTTGACTGACCTCTTCAACTTTGACAGTCTGTGCCCTTAATTCAGGTCCTCCCTCCCCTTAGCCGCTCCCGCCCCTAATCCTCTGGATGTTCTGGAAGTAAAACGAAGCTAGAAAGCGCGTGCGGGAGCGTGGGTGTGCTCTGGCTCGTGCGCAGTGGGAAGAGAGGCATGTGGATCCCACTCTGTCTGCATCTAACTCGATGGGCCTCCGGTGAGCGCCCCTTCGAGGAGTTGGAACAAGTTACCCATCTTCTTGAACCTCACCTGGAAACCGGTTGTCTGTGCCTCCCTCTGTCCCCCAGGGCTGCAGGAAGTGATGCTCCGCCCTGCGCCTCCGAGGGCGGTGGGTACCTCAGCGCCACCGAGGTGATGCTGAGGCAGGTCCTGGACAGAGCAAACCCTCGGGCCTGTGAAGGGATCATTTGCTGGGGGAACCCTGGGGCTCGGGGCTCGGAGGAGCTGGCCTCTCCTTTCCCAGCCCTGTTACCATGGACACATGATGGACTTCTCTCAGCTCATTTCCGCTCCCCAAAGTGGAAACATTATTTGGGGAGATTGTAGGAACACACTTAATCATTTGTCTTGTTATGATTAGAATTATTTCAGTTATTACTACCTTTTCATAAGCTTTGCCCATTCATTTCCAACTGGTCAGATGGCTAGACCCCCTTTTCCCCAAATAAACTGGTGTTTTTAAGACAAAATACTACTTTAAATAGTGGTTAATACTCTCTTAAGGAACCGAGCAGGAGGATTACAAAGTATCTGGCAGAAAGGTGGCTTGAGAAGTGTGTTTGTAAGTCTGAGGGTGGCAGTTCTTTTAAGGCCCCTTGAGAGCAGTCACGCTGATCTGGGCCAGGCCCGCGATACCGCCTGGGCCTTCCATTCACGGCTCTGCCCTGCTGGTCCCTGGCAGGACAGAGCAGGATTCCACCAGCTGGTCCAAAGGGAAGCTCCGGGAGTTCCTGGTGGGCATCGACGTGGAGAACGAGGCTGGTCGCTGCCAGATCACTGAGCTGAAGCAGGTGGAAGGTGAGGCTTCCTGTCGCAGCTGCAGAGGGAAGCTGCTTTTCTTCTATGAGTGGAACATCACGCTGGGCTGGAAAGGTAACGGGCCTCAGGGTCCAGGCGGGGCTGGGGGCAGCCTCGGGGCAGACTTTGTCGATTCATTATTCAACATTCAGCAAATTCTTTTAGAGCTGCTGTGGACCCTGCACGGGCTGAACCCCGAATTGGTGTTTGTAGTTCCAGACACAACCTGACCACAGGTGGAGTTCCTTGTCCAACAGGCTGGGGGTCTCCCTTTCTCCCAGGGCGCAGAGCTGCGTCGAGCTTGTTGCTTTCAGCTGTTCTCTTTGCCGGGCACCGTGAGCACTAGAGTTTCCCGGAGCTGCTGCCTGGACGCTTCCCCTAGGTTTCCCCTGCTGGCTCCTGTCAGCCCTTCAGGCCTTTATCCTGAGTGAAGCCACCTGTGCATCCTGTGAAACTTGCAGATGCCATCCTTGTACAGTCTCCCCTGCTTTATTTTCCTCCAAAGCGCTGGTATTTTGTATACTGTATACGGTTATTTAAATATTTCATTTATTGTTCTGGTCCCCCTCTTCTCCCAGTTCATTAGGACAGGAATTTTTAAAATATATTAGCTTTATTGGGATATAATTCACATACTATATAATTTGCCGACTTGTGCACAGTTCGGTGGTTTTCAGTATAATAAGAGCTGTGCAGCCATCACTACAATCAATTTTAGAAAAATTTCATCACTCCCCCCCCCAACCCTGAGCCCATTAGCAGTCACTCCCCCAGTCCCCCCAGCCACCAGTCTGTTTCCTATTTCTGCGGATTTGCCTATTCTGGACATTTCGTATGAATGGAATCATGCAGTATGTGTTTTTCTGTGATTGTTTTTCATGTAATGTGTTTTCAAGGTTCATTCATGTTGTATGTAGCATTTTTTGTTCTATTTTATGGTTAAATGGTGTTCTTTGTACAGATACAGCACATTTTGTTTATCTGCTCATCAGTTAGTGGACATTTGGGTTGTTTCCACTCTTTGGGTCTTTTGGTCAGGAATTGATTGGTTTTGTTTCAGGCCCACATCACTGTCTGGAACATAGTGTGTTTGTTGAATGAATAAATTTCTATTGTGGTGCCCAGCTCCTGGCTAGGTAGGCAGTCTGTGCTCAATGAATACTTGTTAAAATAACCACAGATGTGAAAACAAAGGGGGAAAGAAAGAGGAAGGAGGGAGAGAGCTGGTTCTAGAAGATTGTGCCGTGTTCAAGTTTGGGCCTCAGCCCAGGAGTCAGCTCCTTTCTTGAGAGTTTGGGTTAGCAAGGCACTGAGGAAACTGGCCTTGGGCCTCTGCCCAGCCTTGTTAGCTAGGCCAGAACCCAGGGAGATGGTCAGGCAGCATCAAAAGTAGTCCCACACATGCCTGGGAACCTTTTGGTTTGGGTTTGCTGTCAGTTACTCCTTCAGTGGCTGCTGCTGGATAGATTACAGCAGGGGCTGACTCCCTGCAACTGACTAGTCCCCTCATCTCCCTCCTTGCCAATACAGGGCTTTGAGGGCCCAGAGGAAGCTTTCACTATATTGTGTCCATTCCATCTGCTTTAATTCAAGGCAACAACCAGCTCCTTTGCAAGATAAGGCCCACCCACTTCCAGGTGGCAGCCAGAGAGAGGGCAGGCTGAACAGGACTTGCCCTGACCCCTTGAGCTTTCTCCTCTAGCAGTGCATCCCAGAGGTGGCGTGTGGGACCCGCTGGGGAGGAGGCAACACTCTTGTCTTGTTTTTGTTTTGTTTTCTAATTAAATTTTAACTTAATCCCCTCCAGCTTTATTGAGATATAATTGACTTACAACATTGTACGAGTTTAAGATGTACAACATGATTTGATTTATGTATATACTGTGAAATGATTACCACAATAGGGTTAGCTAACACATCCATCAGTTCAGTTTTTTTTATATGTATGCTGAGAACTTTTAAGATTTACTGTCTTAGCACCTTTCAAATACATGTATGTTATTGTTAACTAGTCACCATGCTGTACATTACATCCCCAGAACTTATTCTGGAAGTTTGTACCCTTTGACCAGCTTCATTCCCCACCCCCTTGCAACCACCAGTCTACTCTCTCTGTTTCTGAGTTTGGTTTTCTACGCATATAAGTGAGATCATACAGTACTTGTCCTTTAGTATTATACCATGACCATCTTTGTTTCTTTTGAGCATTTTTAGTTTAAAGTCTATTTTAGCTAATATGACTACTCCTGCTTTCCTTTGGTCACCATTTGCTTGAAATATCTTTTTCCATCCCTCCAATCTCAGGTCATGTGTGCCCTTAAAGTGAAAGTGAATCTCTTACAGGCAGCATATTGTTGGATCTTGGTATTTTTTAATCCATTCAGCCATTATGTGTCTTTTGATTGGAGAATTTAATCCATTTATATTTGAAGTAATTACTGATAGGAAAGGACTTACTGTTGCTATTTTGTTCATTGTTTTTGGAGTGTTTTGTAGCTCCTGTTTTCATGTTCCTTACTTCCTCTCCTGCCATCTTCCATGGTGATTTGATGCCTATTTGTGGTGATGTGTTTTGACTCCCTTTCATAATCTTTTGTGTATCTACTACAGGTATCTCTTTGTGATTACTTTGAAGCTTATATAAAATATCTTATAACATTCTGTTTACACTGGTAACAACTTAATTTCAATAGGATACAGAAATTTATACTTTTTCTCCCTCATGTTTTAGGTTATTCATGTTGCAACTTACTTTAAATGTTACAGTTTACTTTAACTGATATAATTGATGTTACAATTTACTTAAAAATTTTTTTTAAGTATTAAAAATAACCCTAGGTTACTGTGCATAAAAGTTATGGTTATTTTTAATATGTTTGTTTTTTAACCTTTAGAGTTGTAAGTGAATTATTCATTACTATTGCAATATAAGATAATCTGATTTTGACTATATATTTATCATTACCAGGGAGTTTCATACATTTGTATGTTTTTATGATGCTAATAAGCATCCTTTCATTTTAGCTTGAGGAATGAGCTTTAGCATTTGTTATAGGCAGGTTCAGTGGTGGTGAACACCCTGAGCTTCTGTTTGTTTGAGAAAGTCTTTATCTCGCCTTCATTTATGAAGGACAGCTTTGCCGGCTATAGTATTCTTACTTGACAGTTTTTTCTTCTCTCTTTTTTTTGACTTTAAATAAATTTTTACTCTTCAATTACAGTTGACATATAATATTAGTTGTACAACCCAGTGATTAGACATTTATATAACTTACTAAGTGATCACCCTGATAAATTTCATACCCATCTAACACCATACATAATTATTACAATATTATTGACTATATTTCTTATGCTGTACTTTACATCCCCATGACTATTCTGTAACAACCAATTTGTACTTCTTAATCCTTTCACCTTTTTCACCCATCCCAACACTTTCCCATCTGGCAACCATCAAAATGTTCTTTATATTTATGAGTCTGTTTCTGTTCTGCTTGTTTATTTTAAGATTCACTATTGATAGATATGTTTTTATTCCTACTTTATTTTTCTTCATCTTTTAACATTTTTCTTCATGTAATACTAGTTTGGTGGTGATGAACTCTTTTAGCTTTTTCTTGTTTGGGAAGCTCTGTATCTGACCTTCAATTCTAAATGATAGCCTTGCTGAGTAGAGTAATCTTGGTTGTAGGTCCTTGTTTTTCATCACTTTGAATATTCCTTACTAGTCCCTTTTGGAATACAAAATTTCTGTTGAGAAATTAGCTGACAGTCTTATGGGAGCTTCCTTGTAGGTAACTAACTGCTTTTCTCTTGCTGCTTTTAATATTCTCTCTTTGTCTTTAACCTTTGGCATTTGAATTACGATATGTTTTGGTGTGGGCCTCTTTGGGTTCATCTTGTTTGGGACTCTGCACTTCCTGGACTTGTATGTCTGTTTCCTTCACCAGGTTAGGGAAGTTCTTTGTCATTATTTTTTCATATATATTTTTTTTCAGGGTAAAGCAGCATTTGATATTTTTTACACGATGGCATTTGTGACAGGTTCAAAAGGAAAACTTGCTTTGTTTTTACTCAGCTGTTCTTCTTCAGAAGTCTCCCAGCTTTCCTCAGAAACCATCTTGGGCTTTATTAGCCAAATCATAGTTCAACGCAGTGTCACATTGGCTGCCTGAAGATACCCTTGCAGGTACTGGAGCATTTCTGTAATTATTTTTTCAAGTAGGTTTTCAATTCCTTGGTCTCTTTCTGCCTCTTCTGGCACCCCAATAATACAAATGTTGGGCCTCTTGAAGTTGTCCCAGAGGCTCCGTATACTATTTTCATATTTCTGGGTTCTTTTTTCTTTTTGCTCTTCTGGTTGGGTGTTTTTTGTTTCCTCATGTTCCAAATTGCTGATTTGATTCTCAGTGTCCTCTACTCTACTGTTGATTCCCTGTAAATTATTCTTCATTTCAGTTCCTGTAGCCTTCATTTCAAATTGGTTCTTTATTATGTTATCGATTTTCTCAGTTATTTCCCTAACAGTCTGCTTAAACATCCTTATAACCAAAATTCTGAACTCTCTATCTGTTAGCTTGCTTGGATCTATTTCATTTAGTTCCTCTTCTAGAGATTTCTTCTGTTCTTTCCTTTGTGACATCTTTCTTTGCCTC